GTATCTGTATAGTATACCCTTCTCACAACCAGACTCACATTATGTTCATGTCTGACATCCTTGAGCAATAAAGTTGATTCTGAATGTTAATAGTTGATCAAAATTGGCAAAATTCTGATTCAAAGTGAGAGTGTGTGTAGCTTTTGATGGAAGAAACAACACATTCTCTCTCTTACAAATTAAAAGTTCATAACAACTCAAAGGCACCCTAGCTCAGTTCAATACACCACCATGTTTTTCACTTGGTCTGGCATATGGTGGCTAATTCTAGCTAATATTAGCACACTGACATCACTCTGGCTGAGTCATTTCATCAACTTTTCGCCTCTTCTCTGCTAGCGCTACTGTTCCACTACTTTTCAGCTTTGACCATTATCTCGTACTTGTCATCTGTGGCCCCGATGGCCCCTCTCTAGCAAAGGTTGCATGAGCCGTGTTTCCAGAAATATATTTGTGTGTGTATTTTGAAGTATCACATTGGAAACTTGCCTAATTCTCATTTCTTTTCTTGCGACATTTCAAAAGTTTGCTTAATTCACTTGGCGGTTGAATGGAAACACAATTGTCTCAGGGTAACGGCCTGATTGAAGAAGAAGCTGAAGAGAGACATTTTGCAAGCATGTGTAGCTAGCTGTGCGTATGTGCCAGTCTCAGTCGGTACCAAAAGAGAATTGAAGTTTGATTCCCACCTCCATCAAAGACAAAGAGGTGGGTGGGGGGGGGGGGGGACATATGGAGAACAGACTCAGCAGCTTTGAAAGAAGGATGAACACACCGAAAAAGAGAAAAGCCAATAGAGTAAGAGAGAAAAGCAGATTGGACATTGTGCCTGTGATGATAAGGAGAAAGACGAGACTCAATCGGATTGCTCGCATCTCAGGGTGCTCTATTCAGTGAGGGGCCATTTACACAGTCAATAGTAATGGATAGCACATGCCGTAGAAAAGACATGGCCTTCTTTATCTGCTTACATGTAGCACATGTCGACCACAAAAGCCCCGACTGTTGCATTGAAAATCCGTCCGACATACTCAATTCTCATCTTTTCTTTACAAATGGCAACTATTAGTCACCAACGAAGTTGAAGTGGCTCCACAGACAACAAAAGAGGGAGACGAATGGAGGGACAAGACACAGATGTTCATCAATACACCGGAGTGTGAGAAAGTTGTAAACACAGAGAAAGATAGGTGGAGCTGAGGAGAGAAGAGGGGAGGAGAGTCGAAGGGGCTAAGGGGAAGGAAGAAAGTGTGGCGAAAAGCATTCAATAAACACGTCTCTATAGTAACCAAGATGTAATTTGCTTGGTGAGAAAAAGAGAAAGATGGAGATTGCGGGGGAGTGATGGGGAGAGGGGAATAGAAAAGCATTTACCGTCACCGCTTGAGTCCAGAGCTGTAATTACGGAACTGAGACGCAGTGAGAGAAGGGGAGGACAAGAGCGAAGGTACACACAAGAAAAGAACCGCACACAATGTACTTTCACAAAAAGAAAAGGTGAGAATATAAAATACACACAACTAAAGTGATGACCCCATAAAATTGGCACTGTTGCAAATAAGTGTAGTAGGCGTGCAGCGGAAAGGCAGAGGTGAAAAAAAACAGCTTCAGAAAGTACAAAAATGATAAAGATAAAAGGAAAAGAGAAAGTAGTGAAAAGGCTTCTTTTGTAAGGGATTGTGTCGGGGGAGTGAGTTCAAAAGATTGAATAATCCTGGGTGATTATTAAGCCAAATAAAAGAAATGAACAACTCTCTGATTAACTGGAGTATTAACGCTGCAGGGACCACAGACAGAAATGCAGAGATGTAAAGAGAAGAAGAAGAGGATTTGGAGTAGAGCAAAAGTGAGGACGGGAAAGAGTGACAGGCGAGGACAAGATATCTTATGGGAAGCATAGTTCTCGTATGATGAGTGATAGACAGGCCAAGATGTGCATAAAACATGCAGGCATATGGCCGATCAAAATAGTAACAGACCAAAAATAGCGGGATTACAGAGGAGACGGAGAATGGGGCCAGTACCGCTCTGTGTGTGTGTGTGTGTGTGTGTGTGTGTGTGTGTGTGTGTGTGTGTGTATAGGGTAGTTGATTACAGCTCCGGCGAGTGGCCTGGTGTCAGCCTGTATATGTGGAGATAACAGGATTAAGAGGCTACTGACACTACTGTACAAAAGAGAGAGAGAGAGAGAGAGAGAGAGAGAGAGAGAGAGAGAGAGAGAGAGAGAGAGAGAGAGAGAGAGAGAGAGAGAAGAGGCAGTGATGGTGAGGAGAGCAACAGAGGAGGAACAGCTGGAGATGGAAAAGGGAAAAGGGACTTAAAGGAATATTCCCCTTGAATTCTGAAAATGCCTTTGTCATATGACGTAAAACAATAAGTAATTATATCGTGGAAAATCAGTTACACAAATGGGGGATAAACCTTGCTAAATGAGCTGCATGCTTCCAGAAAGGGAAAATATATGAATCATATGCTACGGCCTTTGCGGTCACCAGATCTCAACCCATTTGAAAACGCACATGTTGGACTGTGCTCTCCATCAACCAAACACTGATTGAGGAAATATCTTTTGGAAGAATAGTGTTTATTCCTCAAATCATTGAGGTTTGGGAGCCCAGCACCTTACTAATACACTTTTTGTTTTGGGTCTTTTCTTTAGTTTGTCGCCTTCTGAATCTGTGTATGCACAGGGGGGGGAAACAGCTGAACATTGTTCCGATTTCATAACAACAAACAGCCCCGAAAATATGCAGAAAACTATAACAAGTTGACATATTCATGAATCATCTTTAGCTTGATCTGAGTGGGTTTTAAAAGGCCCTTAAAACATATTTTCTTAATCAGAGTCTCGAGGTATGTGGTCTTACGTAAACACCCAAAGAACAGTTGCGGTTGTTTCACAAGAAAAAAGGTTCTGTGTTTGTGTTTTTGTCTGTGCGTTTCTCACAAGTCTGAAGTGGAAAGAGTTCAGATGGAAACATGTAATGTCGCATACTTGGTGACACTTCTCTGTTTTCTTATTTTGATAAGCTGTCAATCAAATCTGATCAAACACCCACACAGTTCTAATTAAACCTGTCAGAACTTAAATCATTGATAACCAATGCAATAGAGAAATAGATATTATGTTATGGAACATTTTATGAACAAGTGATATAGGGGTTGAGGACAGAAAATGGTTGCTGAGATAAACTGTGCCAGGAGATGTGGGGGAAAACATATTTGACCAGTAATGAAAAGATCAATGAGAGGGAAGATTAGGATGATGGATAGAGATTGAAGAAAAAATATTTTGGAAAGAGTGCTGATAATGATGAATAGCAGACACACAGGAGTTGAAACAAATATTAAAGAGGAGGACGAGAGAGACAGAGAGAGAGAGAGAGAGAGAGAGAGAGAGAGAGAGAGAGATGGCTTGAGGGTGAAGAGAAGCTGTAAAGTTGGTTCTGAGATTTCTTTTTCTGCTTGTTTAGTTAAAACGGCCATTAGCACGTGTGCAAAATCCATCAGCTTTGCAATCAACGCGGCTCTTAATTTAGTGCATCATAACTGTAGATTTCAATTGGCGCTCCCATGAGGTAGATGAGACCACTTTTCTCTCCAAATCCAATCTGAGTAAAGGGGGGAAACTGGTCAATTTATAGACGGAGACAGAAGAATTAGCTTCAGGGCCACTGAATACTTAAACTGTTATGTTCTGAAGACAATTCCAAATTGAAAGTTAGAAAGTTGTTCAGTGAGAAAGTGGGAGAATGAAATGAATTTTCACAAAGTACCATTAACCTCTGGCAAAATTATAGGGTCTGTCTGGTCCTGTAGATCAATCAGAGAGAGAGAGAGAGAGAGAGAGAGAGAGAGAGAGAGAGAGAGAGA